TCAGCTGACAGCGCAAGCTTCACCCGGACAATATCATATGCATATTCAAGGTCAGCAAGATATCTAGCCGGATATCTTGAACTGCGTCTTCCCTCCTAAATGAAACCTTTGTCTCTGCAAGAGTCAGCATCGTTAAAGAGAAGAATATTAAGAACACTGTTGGAGAGCAGAAGCGAAAGAATATTTCCCAGGTGAACTCCACAGTTATTAGCGGGTCAGAAAATGAAACAGAATTTTCGCAACAAATACCAATGAGAAAACCCCGTCACATATTAACAAATATATATATATGCACAACAGTAAAAAGAAAGTGCAAAAAAGAGTGTCTGCTTGTCACTGTAAAAACTCTTTGTAGACGCTTCTGACCAATCTAAATGGTGGAAGAACGTTCGGCTGTCAGCTAGAAGCACGTGGACTTCTGGTTTGACCTGGAAATCTAACAATAAATTGTCAAAATGGTCATTCTAGAAAGTGATCATCGACGATTCTCTGGAAGAAGTAAAATCTCATCTATCTTCAGATACAATGACATAATTCACGGTTCAACCGTGTTGGAAAGGAACTGGTAGAAGATCTGACTCAAGAACTAACTCCTGAGAAAGGGAACTGCTTGAGTACAACTAGGGACTGTAGCATAACTTGTTTCATTTGTGTACTGACTAGGCAAAACATCTTATGCTATTCATACAAAGCCAAAAGTACTCAAGAATAAGAAGACATGAGCAAGCAGGAACGGAACATAACGAAACACACAATGCTGGCAATAAAATTTTGATTAAAATATTTCATCTTTGCTAAACATGTAAATTACTAAATAATAAAATTTAGATCTAAAAATTGTTTAACCATTCCAGTGCTTAAAACGGAAGAAATCTCACCATCCGCTTCGTCCCTGGAAGATTTCGCCGCAGCATTATTTCAGAAGTTGCCATTTAACTGAAACAAAACAACGCTGAAAGACGGAATAACTGTAGAGTGCAAAAATTTTACAATGAAACCTTCCAAATGTAAAATATTGTTCAATAAAAGTCAAGGCTTTTGGATTTAAATACTGTAGTGCAGGTCAGCAGGTTCAAAGCATTAAAGCATTACGATGACGACTGAAATGTTGCAACTTCGCCTCGAATGACTGACCTAATAAATGGAAGTCTACTGCTGTAATCCGATCACAAAAAATTTTCATTTTCCAAATCAAGCAGAATAGAAAAGTCAAAAAATTTACATACGTATCATAAACAGAGTTGGAGTTGCACGCATAGAGCTAAGCAAATATTCGTAGCAACAGAAAAACGAACAAACCACCGGTGAAACCAGAAGAAAACAAACTGGAAGAAAACAATTTCCCATTTGTATGAACTCAAACATATTTATTTAGCGTCCGCTGCACTTCGCTGAAACCATGTTGAAGATGGGAGAATTGATTTTCGATACAGTTCCGATCTAGCAAACATTGACATAACTAAATCTAGGATGATGAAAATGGATCAAAATTGGAAAACCATTAATGGATATTTAAATCCAGTTGATGAAATTCGTGACAAAGATCGCGACAGTCTATCTTGTAGTAGAAGACATGCCATCATTCTGTACGCTCTTACACATATCTCATTCACCGCCATAGCTTCTTGAAGTCGAACGTCAGCAACCATGTAAGTACAATCCTTCATTCAAATATATGCAGTGTTGAATAAAATATAAGGACAAATTTGCTGATGAAATCGTATAGAGTATGAACATTTCTGAAACGTTTAACATAAAATGAAAAAGTAAATTTTGGTCGCAAGTGCTGTGCGTGCATATGCCAAATAATGTGAGATAAGAAAATGAGACAAATATATGGCAGGTTAACATGAAGCGACTAGGCTGTCAGAAACAAGAACGAATATGATGAGAGATTCAGAAGCGTTGAATTCCCATTATGTTGTAACAGAAGTCGAATAAAATCAAAAGGATTAACGGAATTGGCCCATTCAACTTGTGTCGGCGAACATTTCAGCAGTCACTGACCTCCTGGTATAAGGATTTACACATACGCTTCATTATCAAGCAAGGTATGCAACAATAAGAGAAAAACTATAACCAGATGGAAAGGAAACAGATTGAATGAGTGAAAATGAATGCAGATGATCGTCCACATGTATTTGTTAACATCAGAGTATCGATTTGAACAAATTCCGCCTTTCCTGTTCTTCACTTTGCAGAATTCTAGCTATCTGTGGGATTACAGACTTTTGTATACTTAAGTCATACCACAAATGCACACAAACTGGAACCTTGCGTAAATGGGACCTTTAGATGCATATTGAAAGAGCCAAGTGCAGGAGATGGAAAGGACTGACTAAAATTGACCTACCGATCCATACAGTAGATCTTATAATCTGATCTATCACATGTTCTATGATATTCGAATAACAGCTGAACTGCTACGTAGAAATTTTTAGAGCGGATCGAAGTTTGCTTAGGTCCAATTTAAGAGGGAACAGAAAGCATACTAGCGAAGTATGTCTGACTAAAGGAGGTATGCATGATTTTAGAATTAGTTCCTTTCTGCTTTTAGAGATTTATAGTAAAGTTAGGCGTTTCAAAAAACAGCAGCAATTTCATAAATTCATGAACACTTTTTCTACATGTGGATTCATCTATGATGACATCAAGATAGATTTAAACAGTAGCCATGTCTATTTTCTGGCTCTGTAACGAAACGGAAGCGTGGAGTCCATTGATTAAACTATCGCTGAAATGGTTTTAGGAGCCGGAACAGAAACTATTTTATCTTACTATAGTTAATGAGCATGCTCTTTTGTACTGACCGATCCTCAGCAGAAATGAATATGCAAAAACCAGAGAGATCGTCAACTAAATCAACCGAATTTAGTGTTAGGATACCATCGGCATATTTTATGCATTTATTTCGCGAGCTGACATTAGCATTTGCCGTGAAAACAAGCAGAAATAAGACCGATTTCTGCAGAATTTTGAAGCTGTTTCGTACAATGTAAGATTTATGTTCGCTGAACTTTAGAAACTGAGTGCGGTAGAAGAAATCGTTATTAGGTTGGCGCAAAGTGTTGAGGTCAATACTGAGAGAACAGAGAATTGTTCCAGGCTCTTCGCCACGCACAGTGTTATTGCATGTGCATCATTGTAGCCCAGAAAAAAACCATGAGTTTTGCAAACGCCTTTGTCGAAATCTATGACAGCAACATTTGTCAAGTGGCATTAACGCAATCTGCATGCTCCTTGAAGACGAACTGGCAAGGATCGGGTAAGAAAACTGGTTTCTGTCTTGATTCGTAATTAAAGAGGCAGATACTTCGTACCGTATAGTGACAGTGACTAGAAAAACTACGATGGTCAACCGATTGAACGAAACGCATTGGGAGTGAATTAAACATTAACATGTACATATGACAAAACTGCAACATATTATGATGAAAACTGACTACAGATAAGGTAGTCCATCCATTTGACGAAATATCCTGATTCCGTCCACTTCGTTTAGCAAGTCCATTTTGCACCACTAGGTGCGCGGCTACTCAACGACGGCTGCTGCAACACAACCCGTTGACGGTCACTAACGAGAAACAGCGTTGACACTTTGTTGGATAGCAGACTGTCACATCGTTAGCTTAGGTGCAGCTTTCTCAAATTTTATTTGGCTTAAATTTTAACACAGACGGAACGGCACAGATAATAGTGTTTATCGAATCTTTTGAAGCTTTGCAGCATTGTGCAACTAATTGTTACTTGCGTATCTATTTTGCTTAGGCGTAATTTCTGTAGTTCACAGTTTAAGTGAATCTTGAGAAACTTAGCGAACGTCATACAGGTTTAATGCGTGCCATTTTACATTATCAGTGATGTAGTGTCAATGCAGAATCGATGACAGTCTGTGGGCTTCACTCGGGGCTTATTCAGCTGAATATTTAACGGCAGCGAAAGTGATTTCGGTGAGGCATAAATCGAACTTTGCAAATGAAATTCATATTTTGCAGATTTGTCGCCATCCGAGGCTTGTTTTAGCAGAAGACCGTGTTCCTTTATGTTCGCAATTTTACGTGCTGAGTTCGAAACTCGCTGTTTATTTGAACTTAGCGGCCACAAATAACCTCGAACAGGTAAGTTTTCTTTTCCTGCTATCCATTCAGCGAGTAAAATGTCCATTGTTTCAATGTTGGCCACCGTCTTGATTTATTATCGATTGACGTATTCGACCGGTTTACGATAAAAAACTGATGGATGTATTTTTTCACAATGCAACCTTCTTTCCATGGGAAAACTGTAACAGTAAAGTCTTTTACGAATGAATTTATTTTCAGAAGATACCCCTTCAACTTTTTTATCGATTTCAAGATTTGGGCGTCTTGACAGTCTTAAACATTCTGTTTACCAACTTTTAAGTGTTTGAATGCTTGTAAATTGCTTTGCGAAATAGCTGCAGGATAAGTTATGATATATGCAGATCAGATGAGAGCTAACCACGGATCTCTTAAGAACATGCAATGGCGAATAATCGGGATACTCAAACTATCGTTCCCCTCTCCACCGATAAACGTGAGCCCTGTAAGTCGGATTCGTAGTGTTCGCCCTTTGGGAATGTCACCCCTCACAAATAGCATGCAATCTCGTGACAGCGCGACGGCGACGTAGCGAATGTGTTGTAATAAAATAATCATGATTTCCAAATCTTGAGCCGCTGTGAAAACAGACCATAGTTTTTGTTCAAGTCACGTTATTATCAGTTTCTTGTTGCTGGGTCATTCGTCGAACAGTCTTTGTTCATTATGCTTCTGTAGCAGTTCGGTTTCCTGTTCGAGCTTGTGTTTTCAGACTGACTCTCAGGCTGTACCGCGAAGGAAGAACAGATTGACTAAACAGCAAGACCATGAGTTATTAAATGACTGTTGTTTTCTGTTTTATGTCTCGATTTTTTCAATGTACTTTGTATGTACAATGTATTTGGTACTGCTGATGTTCACAGCTTACGAAACCATTTTGTATCATTTTGTGTTGATGGCAACTATAGTTGCTCAAGCAAATGTAGATGAGATTGCTAGACTCATTAGCTGATTTACTAACTGATTAACTAATAATGATGATCAACGAAATTTGGTTGAATTGTGTACTTTATACTTCTGTTGTGAGAAATTTTGCTGATAATGGCGTCTGTGCCGAAAGCCGAAACGTCAGAATAAAATATAGGAGTACCTTCGTCATTCGCAAGTCTATTTATATCGAATCAAGTTTCAAGATTTATAAGCTCGTCATGTATTAAAAAATGACATTTCGAAAATGATCAGCAAATGTCCGAGAGTATGCGTATAGCCACTAACGTCCTTGTCCCCTGCTGAACTACACGTTTTGATTTTGGATGTCATGGGTTCGCTTCTACGGATTAGAGTAGGAGCGTGTGTGTGTGTGTGTTT